TCCTTCATGAAAACTTTCATCTTTTAAGCATAAATCTGACACTAACTACAAACTACAGACTAAAAACTACAAATGGCCCGCCCCCCTGATAGGCTTCTCTCTTCAGCTGCTTTTCCTGGGGTGTTAGTGATGAAGAAAAAAGCTAAACCAGGCGTGGAATCAATTAAGTTAACAACTGATGGACAGGAAGAAGAAGCCCGTCCGTCAGTGAAGGTTCTGTTTTTTATGCTAGGAGTTTAAACTGAGCCCGACAGCTGCAGAGATGACGACAAACAGAGGAAGCTCGAGACCTCCATGTGCAGACGACAGCACTGAGTAACATATATGTTATTATCATTATTATTTTTATTAGTGTCAATAATTGGACTTTACAGATGTTTCAAACTTCTCAGGTTTCAGCTTCAGGCAGGTACATGTCACCTGATAAAATTATTAACACTGGTGATATCGATGTTCAGCTGGAGAACAGAGCGGAGGTGGATGAGGTCATAAGAACAATCTGTCCCCCAAACCCAACACGTGACAGCAGGAAACACAACAGGAAGCAAAGACTGAGGCGAGAGGAGGTCGTGCATGAAAACAGTCACAGGCAGGAGAAGTAATTACAGACAATCAGCAGGTCAGAGTGAGTGTGCACGCTGAAGAGGGGCTGAGTGGCGCTAACCACCCAGATGAACCATCGCCATAGAAACAAAGCCATTAGAGTTTAGGAGGGAGCTGATTGGTTGTAGAGGTCGAGCATGGAGGAAGCAACAGATCAAAGGGATTAAAAAGAGGTAGATGACGCTCAGCACGACTGTGAGGCTCTCCATCGTCTCCATGACGACTTGGCGGATACTCCGGGACACCGGGGCGGATGGGCCCCACACTCAGACGTGAACACATCACAGAAGCTGAGAAACACCGACTACAATTTGTTTTTAAATTTACACCAGACTGAGAAGCCATGGAGTGGGTTCGGGGGTCATGACCCCGACCTTTGAACTCACAGGGTTAAAGCCACAACAGCTTAGCTCCAGTATGTGCAAAAGCCACGCAGGGAAACAATGGCGCTCATCGATCACATGCCCGTGAACCCTGGGTGTAACCCCGCCCTCCCGTCAGCACTTGAGCGTTTGGAGCTTAGAGCGAACAAACGCGTGGTGGTGGAGTGCAGAGGTCAGGCTGTGGGCTGAGGATGGCGTGGAGGTCGCGAGCTCTCATGCCATTTCCTGGAACCACGATCTTCCTCCAACCTTCTCTGGAAGAACGATTTTCATGTGTTACTTAGAAACAGGCGACAGGATCGTCCAACGAGCCAGACTCTGATCTACAGATAAGATAAGGATTCATCACGTGAGACGTGTTTATGGTGCTGCTTTAAATCATTATTGGATCCTTTTGTTGTCCACAGAGGTTTTATGGCTCCTTTTAGGGTCTCTTGTTCTTATCTGCTGACTTCAAAAGACAAAGTTTGGATTTCTGATGCTTTCAGGAGCAAAGAACCAATAAAACTCAAAAACATGAACAGCACATTCATGGACACCCATCGTGAGCAGCTTTGCATGATTACGGTTCAAAATAATCCTTCTTTATCTTAAACTGGGCCGTGCAGCCCCTGAGATTGTTTAACAGAGCACACTCAGATCAATACAAGCGATCGATAAATAATAAGCAATAATAAAGTAATGCTACAGCGTAGATACAACGAGACAAAAACATGAAGTGATGTTCATGAAGCATAATCTTTGCTGCGATTGGCTGTCAC